TCGATCCACCCAATTCCATGGCCATCACCAATGGTGCCTCTCCGAGAGCTGCGGACGCTGAGAACAGCTTTAAGAAGATCAAGCCCTAGCTCGCATCGGGTTCGGGCCGGAACTTGTTGCAGGGTCCACTTCTCAAGCGAGAAAGCAAAGATACTTGATGATGGATATAGATGGATGAAGTATGGTAAAAAAAACAGTGAATATACTCATCACCACCAATATGAAGGTCCTCACGGTCGGGGCAGTCGCGACCCAGATCCCATCTCCTGCGAATACCACGAGCACTGGTGGAAAACAGGAAGAAGATAAGTTTTCTTATCAATATTTCTATTATTATTCTCCTTTGTGTTGTCTGCCATCTGCCAAAAGAAAGAGAAGAAATAGGAAGGAATTATAGGTGGTGGTGCTGCCCTTCTTTATGCCTCAAAAGAGCTGGAAAAGTTGGTGATTGCCAACTTCGATCAAAAGATAGGTTCCCATTTTCTGAGAAAGCAAAAGAAGATAAAAAGAAGCAGACATAATTGCAGTGGTGTTGGCATGCAGAAAAAGGAATTATGGGCGTGACCCATTGAGCAGAGGGTCGGATTTATTTTTGTACGATGTAATTTATTTTTCCTATCTTTCGAAGACATTTGTATAAACCCCCTCAGAGGGTAATAAAAAATAAAAAATAAATAAAAAAAACAGCAAAGCCCAAAATAAATGGGCTGGAATGTTGTGTAGAGGGCGAAGGCCCATAAGCCCAAAATAGCTCCAACCAAGCGATCAAAAGTACGCCCAGTACTCCAAAATTATTCGGCAACCTGCCGCTATTACCACCAACCAGGTGATCAAAAGTACGCCTAGTACTCCAAAATTATTCGACAACCCACCGCTATTACCACCAAACAGGTGATGAAATGTACAACCCATACTCTAATATCATTTGGCAACTAACCATTCATGCCACCAACCAGGTGATGAAATGTATAACCCGTACTCTCCTTCATGCCACCAACCAGGTGATCAAAAGTACGCCCACTACTTCAAATTATACATGAGCATAACTCATGTCAATCATACATAAACATTCATGAACATCACTCATATCAATCATACATAAACATTCATGAGCATCACTCATGTCAACATCCATGAGCATCACTCATGTTAAACAACATAAACATTCATGAGCATTACTCATGCTAATCAGCTTCAAAAGCTTCATTTACAAAAGCTCTAGCTTCAAAAGCTTCATTTACAGAGCTCCAACTTCAAAGTTTCACTTGCAAAGCTTCACCTACAAAGCTTCAGTGCAGGGTATACAAATACCACCTCCGAACAACCGCCACTTCGGCCCATACATGGATTCAATTTGAAGTCTCCAGCCAACAGACTCTATTGACCGAAGACTTGGGAGACTACACCATACACCATATATTGGGCCTCAACTGGGCCTCATGAAAAATACTTAGGGGACTTAGCCCATTATTTATGTATTAAGGAGCGAGCCCTTATTCTATAAAGGGACTCCCTCACTTTCATTAGAGAGCACCCATTATTCATGTACTGAGGAGTGAGCCCTTATTTTATAAAAGGGACTCCCTCACCTTCATTAGAGAGCAACGCCGCCAGCTGAGCAACCGCCTCGCCGCGAGCATCACTCCTAGCCCATCACTTATGTATTGAGGAGCGAGCCTTTATTCTAAAAAAGGGACTCCCTCACCTTCATTAGAGAGCAACGCCGCCAGCTGAGCAACCGCCTCGCCGCGAGCATCACTCCTAACCCATCACTTATGTATTGAGGAGCGAGCCCTTATTCTATAAAAGGGAATCCCTCACCATCATTAGAGAGCATCAACTCTAGCCTATCATTCATGTATTGAGGAATGAGCCTTTATTCTATAAAAGGGACTCCCTCACCTTTAAACACCACAAAGCCGAGCCAACCAAGGCAACATAAGCCACGAGCCGAGCAGCCTCGCAGCATGTGCTACTTCTAGTTGAGCATCATTTCAAATTGAGCACTGCCTCATATCGAGCATCAGTTCAAGACAGCATCTAGTTACTTCAGCCCACACATGGACTGAATTTCAAGTCTCCAGCCAAAAGACTTTTTTTACTGAAGACTTGGGGGACTACTGTTTATACCATACTTAGGGCCTCCGTATTTAGACCTCGTATAAATACTCGGGGGACTCAAATGTAATTACGTAATAAAGGAAGGGGCAAATATGCAATTAGGGGAGGAGCCCTTATTCTATAAAATGGCCTCCTCACCCTCACAACCCCTAAGCCTCTCCTATCTAGAGCAAAGCTCTCACACTCCCTTCCTCATAAATACTCTCAGAGAAATACAATCAGTGTGGACGTAGCCCAAACCTTGGGGTGAACCACGATACATCTTGCGTTATTTACATTCCATGCAGATTCACGGTCGGATTTACGTTATTCCAAGACCTCCGGTTGTGTGCATCAACAATTTGTATTTAAACTAATCCTTATTTCATCATTTAAAACAAGTTTTGAAAATGTTTTAGAATTGTGAATTAAAATAAAAAGATATAAAATAATTAAAATTGATTTTAATGAAAACTTGGCAACAAAGAGAAAATAAAATAGTTTTGGAAAAATCAAATGTAAAAAGCCCTAGGGTTTAGCCGTCGCCATTAACAATCCTATGTAGTTCTACCAATTACTTATGAATTATACAAGTAACTTTGAAGGTTAGGTTTTTCTTATGCATATTCTCCTTGTGATATCAGGCAAGAACTTATATCTAACATGCAATGGGTCTGTAATATTCAGATCAAATGTAAATATACAAGACTCATTAAGCTTAGCAAAATCCTTTTGAAAAACCATGCAACCCTTAAGAGCGTGATATTCGCCCTAAGTGAATTATAATTATCAATCACAAGAAGCCCTACTAAATCATTTGGAGATATTCCGACCGAGCTACAACCAATTACTTGTATAAACAATGTAATGGTGGCCAGTCATCAAGACATATAAATAGTTTAAACACGAAGATTAATAATTCAAAGAAAACATGCATAATTTCATAAGCAAATTGATAAGAAACTACATATTCATGCTAAGCTGGTGATCGCCCTAGCAAAAGGAATTTATTGAAAAAGCAAAATATTATTAAAAGACTGGATGGAAAACACCTTGAAAGAAAAATATATATCGTCAAAGCATAGCCAAGTTCTCCAGAATGATATTTAGAGAACACTAATGTACAATACACTATATTTAGAGTGCTTTATTCCTTATCCTACCTAAACAAGGCTTTCTAATAAATCTGGAAATCTAAGTAAAATAATAAAATAATAAATAATAGATTTCCTATTTAAACTCAAATTTGGACGATAGAAAGAATCAGACTTTTGACCAACCAAACCAACTTTGATTTGGTCCCAAAAGCTATCTTTTAAAAGCTTAAGACATCTTTAACAAATCATTTGAAGGAACCTTCTTCAAAATATGACATCTTGACCTTCAAAATACCCAAAACGTCCAGAAATGTCAATTTAGGAAAGCTAAGCGCTGGACCTTTTCTTCTTCACCACGGTCAAACGGCTGTGGATTAAATTTTGGAATTTTGATATAATCATCACAGATCTACTCCAATTGGAATTACTCCAAAATTTCTTCATTTGATCACTTTTTGCTCAAAGTAGATTTGCATGTCGTACAATTGAAATATATAACAAAGAATCAAAATTCAACCAAAATAACCATAAATAATAACTAAAAATAGGACAAAATATATTATAATATATAGTTCAAAGTTGGGAGTAGGGCCAATCGTAAAGTTTTAGAGTAGGCGATGAACCTCTCAGCAAATCACATAAAGAAGTTTTGTTATGATTATTTGAATTTTTTTTTTCTATAACTTATAGGTGGAAGGAAAACATTGTCATTTAGAATTATTAAGCAGTGAGATGAATAGGTCACATTTGAAAAAAAAAATATTACTCTTTTATTTTGGGAACGCTGAAATGAATTTAATTTTTATTCTCTGAAACAAGAATTGTGCAAATGATTTATAGCTTTAGTTGGTTATGCGTTTAGTTACTCGCTCCCCAATATTGCTTATGAAACGAAAATTAGCTCTTCGGCAGTGGTGTAGAATCCATTTTTTTAATTGATTTTTTCTCAAATGGCTAAAGATTAGCTCTTCGACAATGATTGCATGCGAGGCACCTACCCTCTTCCGAAAGGATGAGGACCATTACAGCCATAAAAGATTATGCGAGTCAGACTACACATCAAGACTCGAACTATAGCTGCCAAAAACAACCTACATTTTCCTAGATCTTTTTATTTGTCTGGCTACTTCTGAACATGGGTATCTATATAGTTACTTGGTAGTTTGTGTTAACCTTCAACCTTTGAAGAACATCAATGGAGTTTTCTATGTAATCTAGAGAGAGAGAGAAGGAATTTGAGAGAGAGAATTATAGCTGAAATATCCTTTTGTATTCAATGAATTCTTCTTACAATACATAATACAAGTATATATACATGTGACTTCCTTACACATTAAGTAATCTCTACTAATTGTTTTAACTACCATAACCACCTTATTCCTTCATCTTTTGACACTTGTCATGATCTGACAGTTCTTTATCTTTACATCCCCCCTCAATCATATGCTTGGAGGAACCAAGCATAAGATTAGAACAATGATGCTGAAACAAAGGTGCAGACAGTCCCTTTGTTAATATATCTGCAAACTGTTCTTTTGATGACACATGATGCATAAGAAGATCTCTGTGAATGACTCGTTCCCGCACAAAATGATAGCCTATTTCAATATGTTTCACTCTTGAATGAAAAATAGGATTAGACAATAAGGCAATCGCTGAGATATTGTCATAATAAATGACTAATGCAATGAAAATTGGGACACACAGATCATATAATAACTGCCTTATCCATCATGCTATCTCAGCCGCTGCTATGGCCAATGCTCTATATTCTGCCTTTGTGGATGACCTGGAAACAGTATGTTACTTCTTCGATGCCCAAGAGATTGGACTCAAACCAAAATAGACAATGTGACCAGAAGTAGATCGTCGATCATTTGGGTCACCTGCCCAATCTGCATCACTATAGGCCTGTAATTGCAACTTTCCAGTTTGAAACTGAAGACCATAATGCAAAGTGCCACTGAGATATCTTAAAATGCGCTTGACAGCTACAACATGGGAGTCCATAGGGTTATGCATAAACTGGCATCATTGATTGACAAAGAAAGCTATGTCAGGCCGTGGAAATGTCAAGTATTGCAAGGCTCCTACAATGCTTCGATACTGGTGTGAACTGTGATAAGGAGTACCCTCTGATTTAGACAACCTATGATAGGGCAAACATGGTGTGACACAAGGTTTTGAATCTTGTAAATCAACCTTTTCTAGCATATCCTTGATGTACTTAGTTTGTGAAACAAAGAGACCATCAGGCTGATATGTGATCTGCAACCCTAAGAAGTAGTGTAAATGTCCCAAATCTTTCATGTCAAACTCCTTAGTTAAAGCTATGATAACTGCATCAATCAATTGAGATGAGCTTCCAGTTAAGATAATATCATCCACATATAAAAGAAGAACCACAGTACCATGATGAATGTGATACACAAACAATAATGGATCTGTCAGAGAAGCTTTAAATCCCAATATTGTTAAGAAACTTGTAAACTTTTCATTCCAAGCTCGGGCAGCTAGTTTTAAACCATATAGTGACTTGTGAAGTTTGCAAACATAATTAGAAAGATGATATGAACTTTCAAAGCCCTGTGGTTAAGACATGTACACTTCTTCGTGCAGATCTCTATGAAGAAATACATTATTCACATCCAATTGTCTCAATGACCAGTTAAACTAAGCTGCTAATGCCAAAATTAACCTAACAATGGTAGGTTTTACTATAGGACTGAAAGTCTCACTATAATCCACACCTTCCTATTGGCTATAGCCTTTTGCAACTAACCGGGCTTTATATCTTGCCACTGAGCCATTGGGATTGGTTTTGATTCGATAAACCCACTTACAACCTACTAGATTTTTGGTAGGTGGCAATGGAACTATAGACTAAGTATGCTGAGATTTTAATGCAGTGATCTCTTCTTCCATAGCAACAATCCATTCTGGTATTTTACTAGTAGACTTAAAAGTTGCAGGTTCTGAAACTTGAACAGAAGACTTAACTGTAGCTGAAAACACCTTCTTCTTATATATGCCACTCTTAGATCGAGTTTGCATAGGTTGCAAGCTCACTGGAGGTATTGGAAGGACAACTGAAAGATTTTCAGGTTGAAAATCTGGATCAACGGGGATCAAGGACTGTGTAGTTTTTATAGGTAAGGAAGAAGGTGATGCATGAGGAATAGGATATTCCACAAATCCCAAAGTAGTAAGGGGAATGAACATGGAACTATCTGAGGCATTAGTGGGAGGAAAAGATGAAGACTCTGAGGCATTAGCAGGGATATCGGTGAAAACTCTGGAGCTCGAATTAGAATTGGTGAAATGATAGTATTATTAGAATTGACTAATGAATGATGGACTTGTAGTGATGTGGATGGAGTATGTGGTGATGCATTGTTGGATGTAATGATGAATGAATAAGGAAAGCTTGTCTCATCAAATAAAACATGTCTAGAAACATAGATTTTATTTGTAAGAGGATTGAGACAAAGATATCCTTTATATTGACTTGCATAGCCTATGAATATGCACTGTGAAGTTTTAGGTTGCAACTTACTAGAATTCAACTGTTTTAAAAGTGGGAAACAAGCACAACCAAAGACTTTAAGATGAGATATAGAGGGTGGTGTTCCAAACAAGCATTGAAAGGGTGAGGACATTTGTAGTGTTTGACATGCCATTCTATTGATGAGATAAACAGAAATGGCACAAGCATGAAACTAAAATTTATGTGGTAAGGATGCTGTTTGAATGAGAGTAATGGTTATTTCAAGTATGTGTTTGTGCTTCCTTTCAGCTAGACCGTTTTGTTAGGGAGTATAGGGACTTGACTTTTGATGAATTATACCCTTTTAGAGTAAGTATTGTTTGAATTTGTGTTTGGAGTATTCACCCCCACCATCACTTTGAAACACTTTCATAGTTGCAGAAAATTGAGTAACCAGAAAACTGACTTCACTTTTATTCATTAATAGGAAAATCTAGGTAAACATGGTACATTCATCCACAAAACTTACATAGAATTTGTAACCTTCAATGGAAACAGTGGATGAAGGACCCCAAGCGTCACTATGAATGACCGCTAGAGGTTGGAGAGTTTTATTTGCAGGAAACAGAAATGGAAGCTTAGCAAACTTGCCTTCCAAACACGATTTACAAACAAAAAACACATGATCTAAAGATGTAGGAATATGTGATTGTTTTAACATTTCAAAAGTGACAATGTCGGAAGGATGTCTTAATCTTTGGTGCGACAAATTTATTTTAACTTGACTACCAAGATAGCAGGTTTGTTGCTGAAATGATGCATTGTATTTTTGTGCTTAAGTTGTGAGATGTTGTGGAATGTGAAAGGGTATGGGATATAGACCTTCTCTACACAGCCCCTGAAGAATGATTCTCTATGTGATCTTGTCCTGGATCCAGAAACAAAACTCATCAAAACTGAACCTACATTTGTTATCTTTACATAGTTTATATATGGATAACAAATGTTGTGATAACTGAGGCACATGTAATATGTTCTTTAACTCAAAATCATACTTTGGGGTATGAAGAGTAATGGAACCTATATTAGAGATGGGCAAACCTGAGCCACTTGCAGTTGTCACAGTATCGGTGCTAGAAAATGGTGTTTCCATATTGAGGTTTGAGAGATCTGAGGTCATATGAGAAGTAGCCCCAGTATCAGCAATCCAGAACTGCTCTTGTGGTGCAGAAGGAGAAAATGTAGTGTGCATTGCACAAAGATTGGAAGGTGGTGATCTGCCTTGATAAGTGAAGTTTCCTCGATGATAGCATTGAACTGCAGTGTGTCCATATTTCCAACAGATTTGACACTGAACTTTAGAGGATGGTGCAAATGTAGAGGAGTGTCTTTGAAAGCAATCTGCAACCATGCGACCCCTTTTGTTGCATATCGGACATGTAGGTACTTCATAACCATGCTCAGGACAAATGGAGACATGAGGTTTGGCAAGTCCAAGGATGCCAGCACTCGAATTAAAAGAACCTGTGTTATACCGGGAATTGGAATAAAAGTTGTTCCTGCCCCTTCCACGTCCTCGAAAACCATTTGAAGTATAACCACCATTGTAGTTTGATGAGGTACCATTATAGCCAATATTAGTTGAACCATAATTATATGGTTGTGATTGTGAGGGACCACTTGAAGAGCCTTCTCCTAGCATAAGAGCTTTGCCTTTGCTAGATATATCTTGTGCAACAATTGCAGTAACAAAAGACTCAGAAACCGAACCATTTTCAACAATTGCTTCCTCAGCCAATAATTGGGATCGAAATTCCTTTAGAGTGATGACATTCTCCTTGCCCCTTATAACTGTCCTGAAGGTATTATACTCATAAGACAAACCTTTCGGTGCCAATATCACAATATCATCATCCTCAAATATGACACCAGCTGCAGAGAGATGCTCTCTCACAACTTTAATGCGTTGCAAATATGTAGAAACTGAATTTGTTCCTTTCTTAATATTTTGCAGCCCTGTTTTTAACTGAAATATACTAGCTTTGGTCACAGTAGAGAACCCATCTTTTAGGTTAATCCACATATCATTAGCACTCAAACAACCAATCACACAAGACATAGCCGTAGGAGACAATGTGGATAAGTTGCATTAATGCACGATCATGCATTTTCCAAATCTGAAATTCATCTCAACACCTTCAGTGTTAGCATCTTCAACAAATCGAGTAGGACAGCATCGAGAACCATCCACAAAGCTTAAAATGCCATGGCTTTCAAGAAGCAATCGAAGTTAATAATGCCAAACAAGGTAATTTGTAGCATCCAGTTTGGCAGTAACAGAAGTAGACACATTTGTGATTAGATTCATGATTGGAGATTGAACAATGTTCAATTGTGCAGCCGTCACCATTGTTGTGCAAAATGTAAGAGAAATTCAAGGAGTTTTTTTTTTTTTTTTGAAGAAGAAGAAATTGAAAATTCTAGGGTTTCAAAAGAAGTCGCAAGATTGCAGAAAAGCAGATCACAAATCAATATCAAGATTCAGAAAGAAATCATCAATTCAACATGTAAAGTCTGAGTCATACATTTCATCAAACAATTGGCGGCCATGGTTGCATACACTGTGCAGAGTGATGGAAGAAACGAGGCTCAACGCAAAACTTCAAAGATTGATGATAGCAGCAATGAACACCAAAGCAGAACACTAAAACTTCAAATATCGAGAGCGGAAGCAGCAAAAATCTTCATAATCAAAAGGTCGGCGAAGATAACATGTTAACCTTCAACCTTTGAAGAACATCAATGGAGTTTTCTATGTAATCTAGAGAGAGAGAGAGAAGGAATTAGAGAGAGAATTATAGCTTAAATATCCTTTTGTATTCAATGAATTCTTCTTACGGTACATAATACAAGTATATATATACATGTGACTTTCCTTACACACTAAGTAATCTCTACTAACTGTTTTAACTACCATAACCACCTTTTTCCTTCATCTTTTGACACTTGTCATGATCTTAGAGTTCTTTATCTTTACCGTTTGAAGTTTTAGATTTTGTATACTATAATGTTTCTCTTTCAAAAATTTATTGTGTCAAATTTGAATCTTCCCTCTTCATTGATATATATTGAAAATAGTATGAGAAATGTAAAATGGGCAAATCTAAGACTCTTACTTACATTTAAATTATCACTAGCTAAGCTAAATAAAACATGTAATGAGGATATCAAATTATGTAGATCCATCGTTACCAAGTTAGGGTTTGACATTGGGCTTCTTTTGTTGACAAATTCTAAACAAAAACGGAAAAGGAAATTAAAATCCAAAGATGGACCTTAGTTTGAGTCCACGGAAAGCATGTCAATTGGCAGGTGAGCATATGTAAAAGCTTGTGAGCAAAGTATTGCCATTGCTAAATTTGGTATGAAAAAGCAATGATCGTCTGGACGTGTTACATATTTTTAGTCGGTTGTCGGCATGCGCAACTACTGCATGCCGGTGCGGGTGCTGCTCTAAAATGGTGCACCGACTTACAAGTTTTAGCAGCCAATCTTTGTCTGAACCACAACCGTGCCAACTCCCCAACCCCCACTATCCAGCAGACAAGCAAATAAATTGAAGGAAGGTATGCTGGTCGCTGGTCGCTGGTTGCTGGTTGCGTATGATATGAGTGCACCGATTGGGTGGAGTCCCGTGTCAATGATACAAAGATACGTAGAGGTAAATTAATACATGTCTTTTGTATTATGGTAAATGCCACCTTAATAGTGTAACCACGACATACAAGTTCTTCTTGTTGAATAAACGGTCCAAACAAGATTTAAGTTTCATATAAGTGAAAGAATGTGGAACGTAATTACTTGGACTACTAAATTTGTACATGAATCATATTGCTATACTGCTTCAAGTGTATCGACAGTCACAGTTCGAAGCAGATGGATGAATCGTTTAATTAGGCTAGTAATATATGATGGATTTTACTTACAGCCATTCTACACGAGTCAAACCAATTAGCAATTTGCAATTACGGTGGTTTAAAGTAGGTCTGGCAAAGGGGTTGTGTTTGTCATGTTCGTGTATTACCTGTTATTTTAATAGGTCGTGTTATTTTACTCGTTAAAATTAACAGGTTAAATGACCCGACACATTAAGAAATGAGAAAATTACAATTAAAATTAACGGTCATGTCATACTTTGTTCTTCATTATTGCAAGTATTGTCTTTAATGGTTTTTTCTAATTTTTTTTTTTCGTCTCTAGAAATTCAAGTATGATTGAATCGAAATGTACTATTGTTCTTTAAAAATAAACATTGACATGCAC